CACCCCGCACACGTTACGTGGCCCCAGAGGGAGCTCCACCGAAGGCCCCAGTGGCCGCGTCAGCATGCATCCCCCCCGCCCACCGCATGCCCATGTTCGGCACACCCCTAACACGTTTCGTGGCCCCAGAGGGAGCTCCACTGAAGGCCCCAGTGGCGCAGTTCGCACGCGTGTCCCCCGCCCAGTACAGCGCTTTGTGGCCCCAAAGGTCACATCGGCGCAGTTCGCACGCGTCCCCCCCACCCAGTACACCGCTTCGTGGCCCCAGAGGGAATCCCACCGAATGTCCCAGCGGCGCAGTGCGCATGCGTCTCCCCCACCCAGTGCAGCGCTTCGTGGCCTCAGAGGGAGCCCCACCGCATGTCCCAGCGGCGCAGTGCGCATGCGTCTCCCCCGCCCAGTCCAGCTTTTCGTGGCCCCAGAAGGAGCTCCACCAAAGGTCCAAATGGCCGGCCGCGTCCGCATGCGCCATCCCCCACCCAATACAGCGCTTCGTGGCCCCAGACGGAGCTCGACCGAAGGCCCCAGTGGCGCAGTTCGCATGCGTTTCCCCCACCCAGTGCAGCTTTTCGTGGCCGCGCAGAGAGCCCCACCGAATGCCCCAGCGGCGCAGTTCGCATGCGTCCTCCCCCACCCAGTGTAGCGTTTCGTGGCCCCAGAGGGAGCTCCACCAAAGTTCCCAGTGGCGCAGTTCGCATGCGTTTCCCCCACCCATTACAGCGTTTCGTGGCCCCAGGGCGAGCTCCACCGAAGGCGATACCCACAACTGCGGTATCCACAACTGCGCCACATGGTGGGGTCGCTCGCCCGGCTAATTTCCAACCGTCCCGTGGTGTTGGGTCCTCGTTCTGAAGAAGCAGCGCCCCGCGTCTTCATTCTTCCCGTTGCCTCCATCATCATCATCATCATCATCATCATCAGCATCAGCATCAGCATCATCATCATCATCATCAGCATCATCATCATCAAAGGCCGCCGCGCGCTCAGGCCATTGATGGAGCAGCGGCTTCCAGTCACCGCCCCCTCGCCCTGCCCGAAAGGCAGGGGGCCTCTTGAAGATACCCCGCACACCGCCATGCCGCCATGGACGTGCTCCGGAGCGCGGGCGCCGCGCACCTGCTAAGCACAGGACTCGCTCGCTGACATCAGGAACATGGACGAGCGCATGGCCCAAGCACCTGACCACCAGCCAGACGACGATGCCGATGCTGAAGTATTACGACACGCTGACCCTGAACTACTGGACGCTGAGGTTCAACAACAACATCCTCACGAATACAAAGGGCCAGCACAGGCAGGACCACACCATGCGGCCCATGGCTCAAATGTATGGCTCAATGATGACTTTCACATAAGTCATCCTCAAGGTGGCTCAAGTGGGCCAAGACCCCCCCCCCTTTTTGCCACGCCCCCTTTTGTCAGTAGCGTTGCGTTCATCTCCATGGAATGGGGTGGCATGGGCGGCCGCAGCGTAATGCAGGCGATGGTGGAGGCGGCCGTCTCGGCGGCGGTGAGTGGCACGCTGAGGGCGGTGCAGCCGGCTCAATTGGGCCAGTCGGAGGTGCCGCCGCCGTCAGCCTCCTCGAGGCTGCAGCCGGTGCCGAAGCTACAGCTGCTGCCTACGGCTCCGCGGCGGGGACAGGCCACGCCGAAGCCCACGCCGATGCCCAGCTGCTCCCTTCGGCTTCCTCCGCTGGCCCTCGAGACGGAGCCGCAGGCGGGGGCGGCATCAGGTCTGGGGAAGGACGAGCTGGAACCCCGGGGTGCTGCCCAGGCCGGGCTGCAGCCCGCTCGCGCTTCGCCGGCCGAGCCCAAGAGGGCGGAGCGCCCGCCTGCGCGCTGGGCGCCGCCGAGGGATCCGGGGTCGAACTCGCCTACCGCGTCGGGCCCCAGCTGGCGAGCTGGCCCGGCACAGGTGCGCGCGGGAGCACGTCCGCCGGCGGAGGCCACGCGCGAGGTGAGGACAGATGGAGATCGGCCTCTGGCAGCACCCAGGCTGGACAAGCCGATGCACGAGGAGCAGCCGGTGGCGCGTCTTCGCCGGTGGCATCGGCAAGAGCCTCGGCCAGATACTCTGGGCTGCAACATTCGCTTGGTGGATGCTCCCTCGCCGAGGGCCTCCGAGGACGCTCCTCTGCCGAAGGCCCAGGCATCCCAGCCACCGGTCGCCGCGCAGGCGCGCATCTGCCGCACCCCCTCCCGCAGACCTCGGCGGGGCCGGGCGAGCGCTCCGAGCCCCCCGCTCCGGAGTCGGCCCCCGCCGTCACCGAGTCCCCTGCGGGAAGTGAGGCGGCGTCGCGCGGCCCGGGATCAGGGCATTCACCATCTGAGCTGAGCGGCGACTTCAACAGCGCCGTGATCTCCGACAGCGACCTGGAGGACGAGCAGGCGAACCTCGATGCTGTTCTGGAGCCGATGGCCGGCGCTGGCTCGGGGGCTGGGGATTGGGGGAAGGAGGGTGAGCTCGGTTGTCCTGGTTCTGGGCGGCGCCCATCGGGCGTCCGTCATATTGGGCGCCCTCTGCCCCGTCCTCCCCCCGAGCCGACCGTGGCTCCTGCTGGCGCTGGGGTCGGCACCGAGTTCATCAGCCTCGAGGACCACGACGTCGCCACGGATGAGGACGAAGCCGCCACAGATGGGGAAGACGAGGATGCCCTTCCTTATGTTCCAAGAGAGCATTGGGATGTTCTGGCGGCTTGGTGGATGGATCTGCTCGAGCCTCTGGGAGTAGTCAGCGCCTGGACTCCATTGCGCTCCGTGGTTGCCGACGCCCTTCCCGACGCCTCTCCCCGCGCCCCCGTCGCCCTTCCCGACGACGACCTACCCGACGCCGCTCCCTGCGACCCCCTACGGCCCCCCTACGGCGCCCTGCCCGACACCCCCGACGCCCTTCCCCGCGGAGCCGTACCCTACGCCCACGCCGCTCTTCCTGACGACGCCCTTCCCGACGCTTTTCCCCACGACGCCCTGCGCCCCCCTGCGGCCCCCGACGACGCCCTATCCGACGCCCACGACGCCCTCCCTCTCGGTGCCCTGCCCGACGCCCACGACGACCTTCCCAACGTCGACTTTCCCGACGCCGCTCCCTACGCCTCCCTACGGCCCCCCACTGCCCCCTACGGCGCCCTTCCCGACACCCCCGACGCCCTTCCCCACGGAGCCGTACCTGTCGCCCACGCCTCCCCTGCCGACGACGCCCTTCCCGACGCCCTTCCCCGCGACGCCCTGCGCCCCCCTGCGGCCCCCTGCGGCGCCCTTCCCGACGCCCTCGACGACGCCCTTCCCCGCGGCGCCCTACCCGACGCCCGCGGCGCCCCTCCCGACGACGCCCTACCCGACGCCCCTCTCTGTGACGCCCTACGGCCCCCTACGGCGCCCTACCCGACGCCCGCGACGCCCTTCCCCACGGCGCCTTTTCCGACGCCCCTCTTGACGCCCACGACGCCCGTCCCGACACCCCGCGACTTTCCCAACCCCACGACGCCCTGCGACCTTCCCAAACCCCTTCCCGACGACGCCCCTCCTGACGCCCTAGCCCGCGCCCCGCCCGGCACCGCGGCCGTTGCTCTACCTCTCCAAATCGCGGCGGCTGACCCCGATCTTCGACTACGTGCCGAGAGCAAGGATGATCTGACAAGAAATGGCGACACCGAGTCGCAAAGGAGGGGTGCTATCGGCGTTGGCGCGCCCAGCGACAGCCAGCGGAAGTACAGCTACGAGCATCTGCAGGTGCTTGCCCGGATTCACGGCTGGCTCGGGGAGGGCCTCGCGCATGAGGTCATCGCAGCGCGCTTGGAGGCTGCAGCTGCTCGCTTCCAACAGCGGGGGGCTGACCGACGCGACCGCCTGCTGATGCGACGAGGGGCTGCGTATGCTGCCGCCCTGCTGTCTCTGCGTTCCTCGTTCCCCGCCGAGTACAAGTCGAAGGATAAGCTCGCGAAGGAGGAGGGGCCGGCCAGCAGCCCGGCGAGCGGCGATAGCTGACTCTGCGCCACTGAGGGGGCGTCGGCTCTGTTGCCCCTGCTCTGGGAGGCTGGCTTGTGCTGCGGCGCCGTGCTCGGCGCGCGCCCTCCTTGAGGCGTTATGCTCCGGCATTGCCGCCTTTTTTTTCCACCGTTGACAATGCTAGTATGTGCCTTGGTACTCTCGCGTTCATCTTGATTTGTTGGACTGGCATCTTCGAGGACTTTTTTAGGCTCGGTGCTAACTCCAGCCTCGCGTCGGCCGGTCGGTTGAGGACCTCTCGGGGCTCGCCTATTCTTTTCCGGTCTCGGGTTCGAGTTGACCATTATATTGATTATGTTCCGCCAAGTTTGGCACTGATTGGGCAGATTCTGTCGCATTTGTGCATCCCTGGCGCTTTGATGAGTTTTCCGCCCATTCTGGCACTGAGCAGACAGATTCTGTCTTTTTTTGTGCCTCTCTGGCGCCTCGTTGTCGTTGCCTCGGTATCTCTTCCTGCTGGGGGGTCCACGCTTCTCTCGTGCCCTGTATAGTGCCATTTTGGCCAAGACGCCCTGGTCGATGCACATTGAGTTGTGCGCAGGCGGGCCCGCGATCTGCGTGGAGCTGCTGGCGGCGCGGGGAATGCCGGCGCGGAAAAATGCCACCAGTGGAACAAGTGCACGCTGAACGTGACTTGCCACTTGGACTACTACCCCCACACCCACACTGCGAAGGACTACTGGACGCTGAGCATCAATCCCAACATCATCGCGAACATACAGGGCCAGCACATGCAGGATTACGACACGCGGACCCTGAACGACTGGACGCTGCACGTCAATTTCAACATCTTCACGAACGCAGAGGGCCAGTACGTGCGAGACTGGACGCTGAGCTACATCTCCATGAACACAGAGGGCCAGCACATGAAGGATTACGACACGCTGACCCCGAACTACTGGACGCTGGACCACTACCTACACACCCAGCTCGCGAAGGACTACTGAACGCTGAGCGTCAATTCCAACTTAACCACGGACATAGAGGTCCAGCACATGAAGGAGTACGACACGCTGACCCTGGACGACTGGACGATGAACTTCAATTTCAACGTCTTCACGAACACAGAGGGCCAGTACGTGCAGGACTACACCACGCTGCACCTGAACCGCCACCAGTGGAACAACTGCACGCTGGACTTGAATTGCCACCTGGACTTAAAGGTCGACATGAACGTGACCCTGGTGACGAGCGCCCTGATCATCAGTTTCCAGTCCGACGACCCACCCACTTCTCTTCAAGGCCCATCGAACTCACCATCATGCTCCTCGCCCTACAGCACCTGATGCGCACTGGTGTTCAAAGGGCAGGGATGGGACATGACACTGCAGATTATCAATACGCGGACCCGCTCGCTGAGCGAGTCTATCACCCCAGTCGACGGAAGCTCGAGATCGATCACGACGTCAGCTCCACCATCATCCAGACTTTCGACATCTTCAAAACAGAAAAAAAGCCCCACTGGCAATGTGATTCAGGACATTCTTGCATGCGTACGTTTATCACACTTTTTCGACCACTTATGGCGATTGTATCTGAGGATAGGACTCATACAGAAAGGAACTCAACACGCACAGAACATTGGTAAGCAGAACACCCTGGCCTCACTGGGCATTCACGGGGCTACGAAGAAGGCCGAACGGAACATCAAGATCACGCAGTTAGACATTTACGACGAGCGTGGCAAGCAGGTAGATGCCATCACGCAGGAGCACGAAAGCTACAAGCACATTATGGACTCCCTCAGGAAGAGCGGCCCCCCAGAGGACAAGAAATGCCTGCAGGGGATCGGGTCGCCAGCTCCGTCCCGCGCGCTGACGGCCCTAGAAGGACTGTGCAAGTGCGACGTGGGCGGCTCCATGAAGGGTGCCATCGAGGACGTCGAGGCGGAGACGGAGATCAGCAAGGAAGATATCCTCGACGCCACCAACTTCGTGCGCCTGGAAAAGTGCTACGACCACGACAAGACGAAGCTGGTGATCGGCGCGCTAGGCGCGCCCATGTGGGAGGGCCAAATTCTGATCAGCCGCGCCCTCGAGGCCGAGGGCCAGGCGGTCCACCACCGCGACGTGGGCCCAGTGGGCTGGCTCGAGGAGGAGGCTAGAGACGCTCGAGCAGTGAACCCGTCTTTTTCTGCCAGAGCGAGCCTGCAGGCCACAATGCAGGCCGCAGCGGAGAGGAGGCGTTTCAACGCCGCGTCAATCTCGTTCGAGGCAAAGACCTCCCTGCCAGCAGCGGCACGGTCACGGCCGGCCACATGCCCTCCCTCCTCCGTCGTGCCTCCACCCCCCCCCTGCCGTGCCAGCGCATCCAGAGGAGCAGTGTGAGGGGGGGGGGCCCACCTGAGCATGATACAACCGCCGAAGAAGAAGCGGCCGAATATCTCAGCTAGCATTTCGACGCTGCTTGGCACGCGCTGCGCAGGGGGCCCCTCCGAGCAGCGCCCTGGCAGTCTGGCCCAAGCGGGGCAACGCGAGACAGTCGGCTCTCTGCGACGGATCACTTTAAATCTGGTTTCATTGTACACCATATCCTGATATCAGATGTTGGTCCTGACGTCGAGGAAAAAATCATCATCATCACCATCGTCATCGTCTTCGCCACACCTCTCACACACGTCGTGGCCCCAGCATTACCGTCCACATGCGTACCCCGCACCCATGTCGGTACACCCTTTTATACGTTTCGTTGTCCCAGGGGGAGCTCCACCGAAGGCCCCAGTGGCCGCGTCCGCATGCGCCCGCCACTCCAATTTCGGCGCCCCGCTCACACGTTTCGTGGCTCCAGATGGAGCTCCATCGGAGGCCTCATTGCCACCTTCCACATGCGTCCCCCGCATCCATTTCGACACCCCACTCTCACGCTTCGTGGCCCCATGGGGAGCTCCACCGAAGGCCCCAGTGTTACCGTCCACATGCGCCCCCCGCACCCATGTCGGCACACCCCTTCACACGTTTCGTGGCCCCAGAGGGAACTCCACCGAAAACTCCAGTGCCACCGTCCACATGCGCCCCCCACACCCATGTCGGCATCCCCCACACGTTTCGTGGCCCGATACGGAGGTCCACCGAAGGCCCCAGTGCCACCGTCCACATGCGTTCCCCGCACCATTTCGGTACACCCCTCACAGTGTTCGTGGCCCCACAGGGAGCTCCACCGAAGGCCCCAGTGCCACCGTCCACATGCGTCCCCCGCACCCATTTCGGCACCCCGCTCACACGTTTCGTGGTCCCATACGGAGCTCCACCGAAGGCCCTGGGGCCACCGTCCGCATGCGTCCCCCGCGCCCATTTAGGCACCCGTCACACGCTTCGTGGCCCCATAGGGAGCTCGACCGAAGGCCCCAGGGCCACCGTCCACATGCGCCCCCCACACCCATAGGGAGCTCCACTGAAGGCCCCAGTGCCACCGTCCACTTGAGCCCCCCGTTCCCATTTCGGCACCCCCCTCACACGTTTCGTGGCTCAATAAGGGGTTCCACCGAAGGCTCCAGCGCCACCGCCCGCATGCGTCCCCCATACCCATTTCGTCAGCCCCCATCACACGTTTTGTGGCCCCATAGGGAGCTCCACCGAAGGCCCCAGTGCCACCGTCCACGTGCGTCCCCCGCACCATTTCGGTACAACCCTCACACGTTTTGTGGCCCCATAGGGAGCTCCACCGAAGGCCCCAGTGCCACCGTCCATTTGCGTACCCCCCACACACAAGGCAACACCCCCCTCACGCGCTTCGTGGTCCCATAGGGAGCTCCACCGAAGGCCCCAGTGCCACCTTCCACATGCGTACGCCGCACCCCTTTCGGCACACCCCTCACAGTGTTCGTGGCCCCATAGGGAGCTCCACCGAAAAATATATTCTCAATTGCGGCACGCACATCTGCAAATGGTTGGGTCTTTCGCCAGGCTAATTGTTTTTTGCTGGTGTGGCTTTGCTACTATATGGTCGAACCTCTGAACCATTGCGCTGGGTGGTACGGTCGGGATGTTTGGGATCCCGTGTCGCCCCGCCGGTTCTAGCCCGACAGGCTTGGGCAGCGACGCGCTATCCACTTTCGGGCCTCCGATGCGTCACCGTCCTGAGCTTTTCGGAGCAGTCCGAACCGCGGAGAGGAGCGACAAGAAATTGTTTGGCAGTGACTTGCGTGTCGCCGAGGCCGCCGCGGGGACACGCGATCCAAAAGTTCCCACAACCGTATGCTCCCCCCTCCCGTTCCTGTGCTGGGGCTGTGCGTGATGAAGCGAGAGTGCTGCACCCCGCTTTCGACGTGAGGCGCGCGTCCGAGGCAACAGTGGCCAGGAAAACCCACTGGCTGCATTGGCCAGGTGCGGAGAAAGCGGCCTGTGACAGGGCGCTCCCGCGAACCGCGAAAACAAGAGAGGCCTCCTGCATACTGGAGCCCGCACGGGGGCCGAGCTGATTCCGCTTCCTCCCTTTCGAATTTCATTTCGTCCGCTCCATTTCGTCCGCTTTTACTCGTCTTCGATTCGTCCGTGCTTCGGTTCGTCCAGTTTCAAGTTCTCTGGGCTACGAAGGAGGACGTACCGAAAGAGGGCGGACTGAAAGAGGAATCGAAATAAGACCAAACGAAAGCGGACGAAGTGAAAGTTTGCCCAGCACTGGTTCCCGCCAGAAGTGGGATGAGAAAGAGACCTCCCTCTTCGCTGCAGCTGGACGCGGCACCTCCAAAAACTAGACTTTTTCGAGCCTGGGCGGGGTCTGGGGACCGATTGCGACCAGATCTGATTTCATCCCCCCCGTCTTTACATATTTTCTTTCGGCTCATCCAGCCCAGACCCCCGTGTCCGCGCCTTCCCGCCTCCTACAATACCTCTCCCGCCTACAGCAGGATCAGCACCCCTCAGAGCGGTGGCCCTGTGCGGGGCATCCCGTAGCCCCCTGGCCCTCTGCGACGGACCCTGGCGTCTTCCATAAGCCAGCAGCCTCCTCCTTGCTGGTCCCCATGTCGAGGAACAAATCGTCCCTCGGGCGCGCGCCGAACTCCGCCGGCGCAAGGCCGGCCGCGAAGATGCGGCGCAGGAGGCTTCGGACCCTGGACGATTCCTTGTCTGATGAGGGCGGCGGCGATGTCCATGGCCAGGCCGCAGTTTCGTGGGCGAGTTCTCGCCCCCGATCCCCGACGCCTCCATGAACGATCAGGCCGGGCCCTCGTGAGGTCCCAGACGCCACCCACCCAGACCCGCGTCCCGAGGAGGAGAGGAGGAGGAGGAGGAGGAGGAGGAGAGGAGGAGGAGGAGGAGGAGGAGGAGGAGGAGGAGGAGGAGGAGGAGGAGGAGGAGCAGGGGGCACACCCCCCGGGGGCGAATCGGAGGCACCCCCGTCGATCGAGGGTGGACGCCCCCCCGTCCTGCATCCTGTGGGGTCTGGCCCTCCATTCCTCCTGGTCCGCTCGACGCACGGGGCAGGGGGTCGACGTGTCCCCCGTTGGGCGGCATCCCCAGGAGGAGGAGGAGGAGGAGGAGGAGGAGGAGGAGGAGGAGGAGGAGGAGGAGGAGGAGGAGGGGGGGGGATAGGCACAGGGGGGCGACGCGTCGACCCGCCATCGTCCTGTCAGCGCCGACAGGCGCAGAGGATGGCCCCAGCCCGCCCAGGAAGGTGCGGCTCTCTTGGCGTCGCTCGGACGTGTGTTTTTTCTCGGCGAGAACCACCGAGGACCATCCTGGACCATCGAGCAAAAAAACACGGGAAATACGCCGCCATGTCTCACATAATCTGGGGAGAGAAGGGCAACAGTAAGATTCAGAGCTTCTGCGGGAGAAGGAGAAGGGAGGAGGGGAAAAGGGGGATTAAAAAAGAAGAAAGGGGGTCCAGCAGCCTCGCAATTCTGGTCCCCCTCGCTCCCCCTCCGCCCGTTCCTGCTCCTTGTCGCACGAAACCGAAAAGTGCACAGGAAATGGACGTCCGAGCGACGGCAAGTTCTGCTGCCCGCGGGCCGATCGCCACATGCATCGCCGATTCCAGGCCGAGGTTCCCCCCTGTGCCAGGTCCCCCACCCTTCTCGTTGCCCCTCCTGTTCCACCGGCCTCCAGGCCCTGGATTCCTCACCCAAGCGCGCGCCTTACGGTGGAGGCCCAGGCCAAGAAACACCCTGCTTGCTTCCCAGGGTGCCTGGGTTTCCTCGGGTTTCGATGGTCTTGCCGTGGATGGCGCGGTGCTCCCGCACCAGAACCCGATGGACGCCCTGAGGCCTCAGGGTTGGGCCTCCTGTGGAAGGCTTCCCGTGGCCGAGCCCCCTGCTGCATCCGATGCCCCCGCCAGGGGGGCGACGGGCGGGGGGCGTCGGGGAGCGCCGGGGGGCGCAAGCCACGGGGGCGCGTCCAGCCGCAGAGAGGGCCCCCCGCGCGCGCGCGCCCCGCAGGACCCCGGAGAGGCAGTGGCAGGATCCGAGTGCCCGCGCCTCGGCCCAGCGCCCGCGTCCAGGGGCGCGCGCTCCGCCACACGGACACACTCTAGGCCTCCTCGTTTTCCTCCTCATCGTCCTCCTCCTCCTAGCTTTTTCAGGTCTCGCATTGCATGAGTCCAGACACCTCAGATCCTAGAGGCCATGGCCTCACCCACCTGGTCTGCTCTGGGCCCGGACGCTGTCCGCAACGGTGGTCGCATCGCATCGCATCGCATCGCATCGCATCACTCTATGGGAAAGCCATGTTTTCCAAGATCTCACCCCATGGCTTCCCGGGAGCCTCGAAGGCATCATGATGGTTCACCAGGGGCCGTCGAGGAGCCCCTGGAACGCCCAAGACGGTCGACTGGGGCCTCCAAGATCCTTCAAGATGGCTCCGATACGGCCGATGATAGCGTCAAGACGGTCCTCGAGACCGCCAAGCCGCCCCGAGATGGCTTCCAGACAGCCCCAGACAGCCTAAGATGGCCCCCGGACGACGGCGAAAAGGGCCCTCCAGAGGCTCCCAAGAAGGTTCGAAAAACCTCTTCGAGGCGACAATCACTCAAAAGCCAAGGAATATGGTTTTCCTAGAACTCCCCGTTTCGTTTCCGAGAAGCGTCCCAGGCCTTAGGATGGTCCAAGCATGGCCCAAGAGGAGCTCCATAGCGGCCCAAACTGGTCGACTGGGTCCCTGGGAACCCTCCAAGCCCGCCAAGACGGTCCCAGCTAGCTCCAAACGGTCGCAGACAGCTTTAGATGGCCCCTGGACGGCCCCTGGAGGTCTCCAAGAGACTTCTAAGATGCCCTCAGGAGGCCAAACTCATACGCAAGCCTGAGGACAACTATACGATTCTGAAGGTCTCGCTTTTCGGCCGCCGAGGCCTCAGGATGGTCCAATCATGTCCCTGGAGGAGCCCGAGCCGAGAGAGGCCTAAGACGGTCGACTGGGGCCCCCAAAGCCTCCAAGATGGCTACGAGACGGCCGAGGGTGACTTGGAGACGGCCCTCGAGACCGCCAAGACACACCCAGTTGGCCTCCAGACCGTCCCAGATGGCTCCCGATGGCTTCAAGACGGCCCCACCGCGCCCCCGAGCACTTCCCGAAACGCTTCCAAAGGGACCTCAGGAGGCCAACATCCTTCTCTCCCGACGGCCCCCCGGCCGAGCCCCCAACATGCAGCCGGCCGGCCGGCCGAGCCCCCAACATGTGGGAGACGTCTTTTCGAACATCAGGCCGACGGCACGACGACCTCGATAGTGATGGTCATCATGGC